ACTGTCCAGCCATTGGTCCCAGCTAAACAATTTTTTAAAAATTAATTGGGAGCATTTATCCATGGCTCCTTTGGCTGCCACTAATGCTGGGTGTAATGCTACTCTAACCCCTTTGGGAGGATGATAGCTTTCATAGCTCATTCATAGCACAAAGCATCTTGAAATTCACTGAAAAATCTGTAACACTCCAATACACATAATTGTATCATATCATTAAATATTTGGAGAGTGTCATGACTTAGCACACTGCTGAAGAGATTTTTTAAATGAATGAGCATAGACCTTTGCTCCAACAGAGTTTGCAGTGGAGTCCTGGATCTGCAGATGCATAATTTTTTCATGAGTCATCCATGGAGAGTCTTCTTCTGTCACAGGGATGGGAGAAGAGAGAGAGAGGAGATACACACATAAAAACAAATGATAAATGAAATGCTACTGAAGGGTGCAGGGGTGGTCCTAGGGCATTAGTAACAGAATATGCATTTTTTGTGTGTGTGTGGTTGGTTGAAATCCAGTATGGTTTATATAGAGTGAGTCTGGGAAGGTCTGCAACAGATTTAGAACTTTTGCAAGGGGCTGCAGGACTCCTTGAGTGAGAGTCACTCCTGCTGAGCTGCATTTGAAGTCAGGGACAGGTGTAGCTGAAGTCTGGGCGCAGGGAGTCTCACCTGTGCTGTCCATGGTAGCTTTTAAGACTGATGTCAGTCTTCTAAAGCTCAGGGGGGCCCTTATCACTCTCTACAACTGCCTGAAAAGAGATTTTAGGGAGGTGGGGGTCAGTCTTTTCTCCGAGTTATCAAGCAATAAGACCAGAAAAATAGAATCAAGTTTCCCCATGGGAAGTTTAGTTCAGATATTACAAGAAATTTTTTCTCCCAATGGGTTGTTTAGCCCTGGCACAGGCTGCCCAAGGCAGTGTTAGAGTTCCAGTGCCTAGAGGGATTTAAAAGCTGTGTGGATGTGGCACTTAGGGACATGGGTTAGTGGTGGGCTTGGCAGTGCTGGGGAAATGCTTGAACTTGGTGATCTTCTAGGGCTTTTCCAACCTAAACTCTTCTGTGATTCTGTGTCCCAGCTCCACAGACACTCTTCATAAATCCTGCATGAACTTGCTGGTAGATTTGGAGAGGTCTTCACGTTTTGGAGGTTAGTTGGTGCAACAGATGACAATAAAGCCTTATTTTCCAGTTCAGTTATCTTTCTGACATGACAATGAATTTCTTACAAATATATTCTAAAGATCAGCAAGAAGATGATTTTCCAAACATTTAAATATAATAACTAAGTCAGCTAGGAAATGCAATCCAGAAAATCTCATCCAGCTGCCTCTCCTTCTATTAATATGTGGATACAGTCACACTCTAGCTTTCTTTGCAGTCTGCAAAGCCAAAGTGGGTTGTTTGCTCAACATCCACTTGCTTCCCTGGGGCTTAAATGCCAATGAAAAGCCCCAGCTCTGGTTTGTTAATTGTCACATTTTTTTGACCAGTTCTGTTTTAGGAAAATCCCATTAAAAATGGCGAATCATTGTCTCCTGCTGATGTAAATGGTAATAGCTTTGACCCACAGAAGCAGCAGGAAAGGTAATGACTGCTAAACTTTTAGATTTAGATTACTGGTTCAGCACTCAGGTCTGGTGAAATAAACCCTTACATGCACACCTTGGCAGCTCCCCCAAAAGCAGCCATGCTTTGCCACTGGACCCCATGCACACCCTGATGTGTGCATGAGGAGCAGGAGACAAAAAACCTGCAACAATTCAACAATGGACTTCCCTGATTCATCAAAGCATTTAAAACACAACATGTCACATAAAGAGTATTTAAATATGTGCTGAAATAGTTTGGCATATCAGGCTTGAGGGCTTGACAGTGCACAAAATTTCTCAGATAAAAGGTTTGGAATGGTTTTAAACTTCCCAAGGCTCTTCCTGAATAACTTCCTGTAGACATGTGGTTAATGCAGAGCATATTTATCCTATATCCTTCATGTATTCATCCTTCTGGTTTCTTACTCTTTGTCCCACCTTTTCACTTGTATTTCCTATGTCCTTCTGTTGTGATGAACACATGGACAAGTAGCTCCCATGGATGCCGCAACAAGTAGATACTTGTACTCCAATGCCATTTTTTAATGATTCCTCCACATGTCAGACATGGTATAGTGGTGGCCCTGGCAGTGCTGGGCTCCATGATCTTCCAGGGATTTTATAACTTTATTGGTTCTGTGATTCTGAAACTTAACAAGCTCTAAGCACTCAAGAAAACCACACAGATTGGAACTATTTCCTTCTTTCCATATTCCTACTTCTCTTAGGTTGCAAGATGTGGCTGGGGGGGGGGGGGGTGTATTCTATTGCCATCTCTTAGAGGTAGGGCAGTTATCTTCTGTTAATTGGGCAGTTTTCATTATCTCTTCCATGACCAATCCTCTCTCCAGGAAATATCTTCTGTTAATGGGCCACTGAGTGCCACAGCATGACTGATAAAAATTACATCATCCCATTGTGAGATGCTCCACCCAGGGGGAGGAGCCAAGCATTCCTACCTGGATATAATCTGAGATTTTGGGACACCAGAGACAGCCTTTTCTCACTGTATTCCCAGAGAAGCAGCTGTCTTCTCCACTGAATTCCCAGAGGAAGACCAGGCCCATCTACACCACCACTGGACCTTCAGAGGAAAACTACACCCTTCTACAGGATCACTGCTTCAACAGAACCACATCTGTCACTGCCGGAGGACTGCAGCCACTATTCAATAGGACTGCTACCAACACCCTAACCAGCAGGGTGTCAGGCTGTATTCTGACTCTGTCAGTGTCATTTTGTGTTACTGCATTCTTATCTTTGCTTCTTTTTATTCCTACGAAAGAACTGTTATTCTTACTCCCGTATCTTTGCCTGAGAGCCCCCTTAATTTTAGAACTATAATCATTTGAAGGGAGAGGGTTTGCATTTTCATTTCAAGGGAGGCTCCTGCCTTCCTTAGCAAAAACCTGTCTTTTCAAACCGAGATACTACTCCACACTATCACCTCTCAGCACCTATTAAGTTTGGTCACCTCTCAGCACCAATATTAAGACCATGAAGATCCTATGGAAGGACTCATGTAGCTGTGCTGTTTGCACAATTCTGAGCACAGCAGGTGCCTGCTGCATAATCACGAGTATTACAACTGCCACAACTTACTACTTCTACACCTATTGACTAATAACAACTGCATTTTCCTTACTGCCCTTTAAAGGTTACGGTAATTTGGAAAAAAGCTATTTATACAAAAATCAGAGCATTTGCACAGCAAGTCAGACTGCAATAGATATACCAGGCAATTTCCCCATGTAAATAAGTCCTCCCTAGAGAACCCTGACAAAACCTTCTCATAGATACACATTTTTGGGGGTCAGTGGGATGGGAGAAGGGACAGGGTAAGTTTGGAACAGTTTGAGTACTTCTGGGCAATTGTTACACAAAGAAAAATGGACATACTGTGCAGAGCTGCTGGCAAAACCTGATATTAAACAAATAATGTAATGTCTTTGGGAAATTTGGTATTGTGTATACAGGCTTCTTTGCAGTTCACACTAGACCTTTTGTGGCTTGTATATATGAATGCAATCAGCAAAGGGACACAGATACAAAAAATTATCCTATATAACTAGCTGTCCTGAAAATAGACCATAAGGAAACTGTTCTGAGTGTCTTGATCCAGGGACTAAAGCATTTATTCTCTTTTTTCCTTTCACCTGAAACCCACAATTAGACCAAATGAAAAAAAAAAAAAAAAAAACCAGAAGCACTTTTGCAACCAGCATCTATTTTTTCAGAGCCCATAGCTGACAGATGTCTTAAATTCAGACTCATGAGGCCTTAAGTTCAGACACAAGGTGTGCTTTTCTTTCTTACAGGGTTTTTAGCTTAAGGTTTTTTCTTCTATTTTTTTCTTTTCATTTCCTTCTTTTTCCTTTTTTTCTTTGTTCATTTGTCCTTTTTTGTTGTTTTCTTTTTTTTTAATTTTTCCTTTTCCTTTTCATTAACCTCTTTTCAGTTTTTCATTTTTGCTTTTATGCTTTTGTTTTTATCTTCTTTTTTCCTTTCCCCTTTTCCCTTTTGTTTTTTATATTTTCTTTTATTTTTTAATTGTTTCTCTTCTCGTTTTTCTTTCTCTGTTTCTCTTTTTATTTTTATTTATTTCCTCTTTTCTTGTATACATTTGTTTTTCCTTTCCTTTTTCTTTTTATTTTATCTTTCTCATTTTTTATTCTATCTTTTTTTATTTTTCCTTTCCCCTTTCCCCTTTCCCCTTTCCTTTTTCCTTTCCTTTTTCCTTTTTCCTTTCCTTTTTCCTTTTTCCTTTCCTTTTTCCTTTCCTTTTTCCTTTCTCCTTTCCTTTTTCCTTTCCTTTTTCCTTTCTCCTTTCCTTTCCTTTTTCCTTTCTCCTTTCCTTTCCTTTCTCCTTTCCCCTTTCCCCTTTCCCCTTTCCCCTTTCTCCTTTCCCCTTTTTCCTTTCCCCTTTTTCCTTTCCCCTTTTTCCTTTCCCCTTTTTCCTTTCCCCTTTTTCCTTTCCTCTTTTTCCTTTCCTTTCCTTTCCTTTCCTTTCCTTTCCTTTCCTTTCCTTTCCTTTCCTTTCCTTTCCTTTCCTTTCCTTTCCTTTCCTTTCCTTTCCTTTCCTTCCTTTCCTTTCCTTTCCTTTCCTTTCCTTTCCTTTCCTTTCCTTTCCTTTCCTTTCCTTTCCTTTCCTTTCCTTTCCTTTCCTTTCCTTTCCTTTCCTTTCTTTCCCTTTTCCCTTTTCCCTTTTCCCTTTTCCCTTTTCCCTTTTCCCTTTTCCCTTTTCCCTTTTCCCTTTTCCCTTTTCCCTTTTCCCTTTTCCCTTTTCCCTTTTCCCTTTTCCCTTTTCCCTTTTCCCTTTTCCCTTTTCCCTTTCCTTTTTTTCTTTTCTTTCCTTTCCTATTTTTTTCCTTTTCCTATTTCTTCCTCTTATTTTCCTATTTTTTTTCCTTTTTCTTTCCTTTTCTTTTTGCCTTTGTCTTTTCCTCCCTCTTTCTCTTTCGATACCAGGCAATCACCAAGCCTCCAATCCCGCACCCGACCTGAAAGCAAAAGCCAGACCTCAACATCTGCTCTTTGCGCCGATTATACAGATCAGAGAAGAGGCTGTGGAGCCTGCAGGCTGACAGCAGGACGTGGTGAGGTACGACATGAGCCAGGACCAAACCTCCCTGACAAATATCCTTGTCCTTTCCCGGGGCAGCGGTCACAGCTCCGAGCGCGGAGCGCCTCCAGGAACGCCGAAATTCCGGCGAAAGCACGAACTCGCTGTTTCCTTGCTAATCACTGTTAATCATTAACCGCTCATTAGAATAACACCGCTGAGTCCCTCCGGTGTGTCCCAGGGGTCGCGGCCAGTCCCGTCGCCCCCGGCCGGCCCCGCATCCCGCGGGATGTGCCGGGATGCGGTGCGGGAGGGGAGATGCGCGGAGCCCCGCGGGGCCCGGGGCTGCCCGCCGGGGCATCCGCGGGGCGCGGAGCCTTTTGTTATGCTAATCCGAGCTGACATCACTCCGCATATGAAAGCAGAGGGGCCGCATATAAGGCGGCTCCGGGGGCCGCCCCGCCAGAGCGGCCCCGCTCCCCGCGCAGCCCGGGCCGGGCGGAGGTAAGTGCGGAGCGCAGGGGTGTGGAGCCGCTGTCGGGAGAGGTGGGAAGGGGACAGCGGCTCGGTGGAGCCCCTCGAAACGCCGAAGGTGCGGGGCTGGCCAAGAACAGGGCTTTGCGAGGCGTGGGCAGAATCCCGAGGAGAGAGGATGCGTCCCGGAGGATGCGTGGGAGTACGAAGACACTGAGGGGTTCGACGGAGAGGGAATTCTTAGAGGCTGCAAAGCAGACCGAGGAGATGGCAGGGACTGCGAGGGAGAAGGGAGACCCGGAGGAATGCGAGGAAAAGGGAGACCCGGGAGGATGCATGAGGCAGGGAGGGAGAAGCGAGGGAATGCAAGGCTTGGAGACTGCAAGGAAGAGGGGATACCCGGGGGAAACCGGGAAGGAGGAGACTCGCAGGCTGAATTAAGAGATCTGACACCCGGCATGGGGACGTGTGAGTGCAGGAGAGAGGGGAGGACCCAGAGGGGGGAGGAAGACCCAGAGGGTGGAGAGACCCGTGCCCGATGAGCTGCAGGGGAGAGGAGACGCCCGAGTTGGGAGACTGGAGACCCAGGGGCTGATGGCAGAGGTGGGACATGAAACTGCAAATATGTAGGGCAATGCAAGGAGCTGCAGAGGAGAGAGTAGTCCGGGAGGCTGCAGGTTAGTGGGGACACCCAGGGGCTGCAGGGGAGAAGGAAGATCCAGAAGGCAGCAAGGAAGTGGTGAGACCCTTCTGCTGGAATCAGCTCCACCACTCTCTATTCCTTTTCTCTGCTCCCACTCCTCACTGCAGGTCATCTGGGGATGTGCTACCCCTAAACCAGGCTGCTGTGCTCTTGGAGAGAGTTGCAGGCTGGCAGGAGAGTCTTTGTTTCTTGGATGGGAAAACTGGAAAAATGTGAGCTGAATACTCACACTTTTATGTACAGTTAAAATTGCCTGCTCCTATCCCTGAGTCCAGAGTCTTGGAAGTGTTTGATGGGAGTGTTTTCTGTGTGCCAGAGTGTGGCTGGCTGCAAACAGCCTTGAGGTGAAGAGAAAAGAGAGCTTTGAGTTAAAAGCAGCTCCTGTTTTTAGGAGTCCACAGGCCACTTGCTGTTGGTTTGATCACTGACCCAGAGCTCGCCAGAGCTGTAAAGATCACATCTGCTCCAAAGTGTGTCCCACCCGTCTCCTTGCAAATTGCTCTTGCAAATGTAATCTGTGTTGGACTGAGTGGGAAAAGGCATTATTACCTCTCCTAATAAAAGGGGTGCAACTGCATGCAAAACTTGCAGTTCTTCGGGTAGGTATGGAGGAATTAGATCATTTCTCTTCCACTCCTGGGGTTGAAAAAACCCCAAACTGTGACTTTTTCAAGGCAGGGGGGGAGAGTAGCGAATGGTGTTGGCTGGTCAGGTTTAGTGAGAGCATTTTAGACCATCTGAGACATTTTACTCCCGACTCTTATGTTGTCCAGCAGTTCACAAGGGTGAGATAAGGGGTCTGAAATATCTAAATAGACACTGAAAGGCATAGGCAGGATTAAGGGTTGAAAGTTTCCAGTGTGCTTGTAGAGCAGTGGGAAGAAAAGGGCTCCCAAAGATTAAAAGATAGAGAAATACTCTGGAACAAGAAGCATGTATGCCTGGATGCTCATGAGAGAACTGCCTTCAAGGGATGCATCAAACCCAAATCCAAGTGGGCATTAAAAAAAAAACAATCTATGGCAATGAAAACCTGCCTCCCTTGTAGGCAGTCAGTTTTGTCTTGGACTTCAAGGAAGCCAGGAACTCGCCCCTAGAGGTTACTAAAATCCTTTGTAATAATAGCACTTTTCTAGTCACCCTTCATGCCAGGCGCTGGGATTGGGACAGCCAAAAAGCAGCCTGAATAGAAAAATATGCTGCAGATGGCAGAGAAAACACTCAGAAATATTCATTCCCCCCAACCCAATTGGTCCCTAAATGAGAATATTTAGGCAGAGAGTTGCAGCTGGGCAAATCCAGAGCTGGGGATCAGCTTTTTCCAGGGTAAGAGGTTTCCCAAAGGGAAGCTGACTGCTCCAACCATTCCCAGTCTCTTCCCAAACCTCTTTGAGGGGGTTTTACGGGGGAATGCACAGTTATAGTTTGGGTATAGTTTGCATAGTTATAGTTTGGGCAGTGTGCTATGCAATGTGTTGTCAGACTCCAGAGATGCAATGTGGTGGGCAGGTTTTTCTGTTTATTTTACTATTGTCTTTCTCATGGGATGGGAAGTCGCTGCAAAGACCACAAAAAGCAGCCCAGAGCAGTGTCTGAAGTGAATAACTGAAGGGAAACCCATTTACTGCTATTAATACTGCTGCTAAAATAAGCAAGCCATGCCCTGGAGACAGAGAGGATCCCTCTAAGGATTAAAGTCCTGCATCTGGTTTGTTTATCTGTTTGGCCTGAAGAAAGGAAAAAAAAAAAAAAAACCCAACCCAGAAAGAAAAGGGGTGTGGGGATATCCTTGAGAGCTTTTTTGTTGCTGCTTCCTGGAGACAAAAATGGGATTTTATGTTTACAAAGTTGCAGCCTTTTCCGTGAGCTCCAGGTGCCAAGGACTTGGAAGAAGTGAGAGGCAGAGTTAATGAGGTGAGAAGAAAAGCAAGAGGTAAAGAGCAAAACACATTTATTGTAACAGATCAGAGAGAAACATCTGCAGGGCAAGGACACCTGCATTAAGTAGGGAAAAGCAGTTTTCGTTATTTGTCTTCTCTGCAGAAAAAGAGAGAGGAAAAAGAAATCTGGAGAGAGGAAAGATGAATAGTTGAAGATTTGAGCTAATATAAAGATCTATCTTTTTTCTTCTTCTTCCTAAGCAGTTGCACAAACTTTTTGGAGAAGAAAAAAAAAAAAAACCACTAAAGTGAAGCAGTGAATGAAGTCTTGCCATGTGCAGGGTTAAATGGAAACACACAATCAGACCGTAACTCTGTGTAATTCAACCCATACGGTTTCTCTGTCTGTTGACTCCAAAGGTTGTATCAAGACTTGGCAAGGGAGGAGACTGAGAAGGGATAAACCAAACCTCTTCATGATTCATAAGCCACTCCTTTGCAGTTTGGATAATCGATTTCTCTGTCACAGTGGCTTGCTAAACTTCAGAGTTAACCGTAGCTCTTTCTCTTTTCAGGTTCTTTATCTCCAAGAACAATCAATACCCAAACTGAAGGAAAATACATTGCACAAAATATTAAGAAAACTCCTTTTTTAGAAAAAGAATTTCTTTGGAGAAGCTGATTTCCTTTGGCTGTCAGGAGAAGGTGGAGAAAATGAAGCCAAGTCTGCGATTTTTCTTAGCTGGTTTTCTGTTGTTGATTCTGCAGACAGGGCTTTGCTATGGGATAAAATGGATGTAAGTATCTGGCTCTATCTCTGCATTTTTAATGTTTCTGTAGGAATTGCTGGTCTCTTACCTGTTTGTACAACTGCTGCTTGAGGCATGCTGTAAACTGCTTAAAGAGCAGCAAGCACTGCAATTCTCCAGGCATTGATTGATGTCAAGTGTGTGTACTATGGGCTTTTGCTAACAATGTCTCCATTTTCTTTCTAAAATATGCATGATTTAGGCTTATTTGGTTTTTTTTTTGTCTTGTTTTTTGTTTTTTTTCTCCTCATTGATACCAAGGGAAAGGCACACACTTGAATGCTCACATGAGCATTCATTAAGTGGCTCATGAAGGTTCTAGCATTAGCTCCTGCTATGCTGGGAAACTCTCCCACCAGGACCACTGGTTGTGCTGAGTAGGGACTGAGCAGTGAGGATGGCAGATGAGATAATGCTGCCCATCTCCAACCACAAAGGATGCTTGACAGATAACATGGACCTTTTAACCTTTGGATTTTGTGAAGGGTGTTAAAAATGAGGTGAGGAGGGGGAGGAGGGTAAAGAAATACCAAGGACTGTGGTCAAATCAGGGTTGAGTTTCCTTGGAGGTAATGTACTCCAAAGTGAAAACATCACCATCTCATTTCTTTGCTTAAACAAGCAATCAGTTAGTTGCTTGCTGCAAAATAAACAAACAGGCCACTCCAAAGCCAGTTTGGTTTCCTGACCTTGATAAGTGATCTGTCTTTTCTACTTGGGTTTGGAGCTGGGCACAAAATAAATAAGGGAATATGGGTTTGCCTCAAACGAGCATCTTTGGTAGTAAAAAAGGCACAATAATATATGTGTTATATAGATATATATGTATGTTGTATTGTGTTTTTATATTTCTGTAATGGTTTGCCCTTCCACCCTTATTTTCTCCCAATAGTTCCACCTTGAGTTTTCCCACTGTTTCCATTGAGTTTTCCCACCAGTTCCATTGAGTTTTCCCTCAGTGCCAATCTCCCTGAAAATGCTTTGTCACTCCCCTCTCCCCTCCCTCATACCTTGTCCATCACTCGGATCCCCATCCCGTTCTTCCAGAATCTTCTACCCTGGGCTTTTGGTTGGAGACAGTGTTTTTACTCTCCATCATGCAGTCAGGGAAGAGAGGACCTTCCAGATGGCAACTCATCTTCTCCAAACAGAGATATCAAACAGAAGTGCAAGTGAGAGCCTCTGGCAGTGCTGTGTACTGCAGGGAGCTGCCAGAGGCCACACATCTGTCTTTTATATCCATAAAGAGAAGCATAGCGAATCTCTCCATAGGGTGTTTAAATGCACATGGTCAAGTGGGAGGAATAGTCACCTACTTTAGGGATCTTTCAAGGTGGCATGCTTGCCTATGGCAGGAAGATAGGAACTAGATGATTTTTAAGGTTTCTTCCAACCCATTCCATAATCTTTCATCTGCTGTCTCCATACTCTAAGGACCATCTTGGAAGTAGAGGAGAGTAAGGATCTGGTTTGCTCTTCCCTGTCTTGGCTTTACACCTTGTAGTAGTCAGAAAGATCTCAATTACATAACCCAGCCCCTTGTTTCTGCCAACTTCCTCCACTATTTAGGGTCTCAGCTCTGCCTATATGCAGCACCAGGAAAGGCAGGCATCTCCTTTCTGAAGGACATTTAGCAACATGCTCATGTCCTTTGCAACATTTATTTCTCTGCAGCACAGAAATAAAGCTGTTTGGTGGCACCCTGATTCATCAGGGCTTTTCTGTGTAGAACCATGACTGACTGGAGGGACTTGTCCATATGCTTGGCATTGGTGTCCCACTTAGGCATGATGCTTAATCATGAGTGAAGGGCTTGGGTTCCTTTGAAGGGCAGAGGGGAGATGAGCTCCAGAAGGAATCTGATAGTATGGTGACAAGCCACAGACATGAAAAATGCTGGGAGGCAGGGAAAGGTCCCTAATGGCTTTGCTGTCAAAAGCAGCCTTTTGGCTGCTAAGTGGTTAAGCTTCAAGGGTTGTTTTCGGGGGTGAGTGGGGGGAGAAGCAGCTGGAGGCAAGACACCACCGTTGCTGCTCCTCTACTTCCCAGCAGAAATATCCCCCCTATCAAAAAGTGAGTGCAAAAGATGAAAGCTAGGATTAAAGTGGTATTTGAAGCATGAATGGCATGCAGATGCAGCACTGAGCTCCCCTCACACCTGTTTAAAACCTGGCAGAGACCTGCACTCTCTGTCCACAGCACTTTGCAACTGGGATGATGGTAGCTGGAAATTCACAAAATAATGTTTGTTTTTTCTTCAGTTTGCTGTTTCTCCTCATTTACCCACCCTTATTTTCCTACAGAAACTCAGGCTAATTTTCCCCACTTCCCATCACTCTCTTTTCTTGGGGCTCAGGGACTGTCCTTAGAAACTGCATGGGTAAGTTCTTGGCAAACAGAGTACCAAATACCAAGTAATACCTCAAACCTGCTTATTCCAGCTCTGGACTCATATTCTGGGTGCCATACAATTGAAATCTGCTCTTTCCTTCTCTTGCTCGTGAACAGAGAGGTGGGGAATAAGAATGGGATGAAGAAGGAAGAAAGTGCTATGTGATGTTTTCAGTTGTGGGATTTTCTCACCAGTCTGCAGGCTGCATAATTTTTGTACACGTGGTGCCAGAAGCGAACTTCAAAGAGGATTTTAGAGGGGAGGGGAGGGGAGAGATAAGGAGGTGGGTTCCACCAGCCTGGAGATGAGCGAGTGACTGATATGAAAGGTGATAGGAAATTTAATTTTGATTCAGTGTGTGCTGTAATTGCAGGGGGAGGGGAAGAAGAAAAACAATTGTCAGCCATTTAGGACTTCTCAGTAACACAAATATGCCCTGAAAATCATTAAAAGCAGGGAGAAGGTAAAAAAAAAAGAAATTATTTATTTTATTTTGCTTGGCTTATTTTTATGAGTTCTGTGGTCCAAATCTCCATCTGTTGAAGTTGATGCTGGGCCCCACCAAACATCCATGGTGTGTAGACAGTCAGCATCTTGTACACATGCTCTTGCTCTTGTATCCATTTCTCTTGCTGGAAAAATTTCATACTTTGTGCTCTTTCATCTAAGCTCTAGAGAGCTACTCAGGTATAAAACCAGAGTATGGTTCCAGAGTATGGTTCCAGATCTTTGCAGGATCAGGATTGTTGTGGGGATACAGCCTTTCTCATCAACGTATATGAGACCTTGCGTCTTATTTTTGCAAACACTTTCCCACCCTTACAGCAAAGCAGGTATGTGGGTTGGTTGCATCATTTTGTGGTGCTCAGTGTTGTTCTGTCACAGTGGCTGGGAAGGTGAGGCAGCCATTGGTTTCCATGAGATATCTCTTAGGGCCAATGCATCTAGTAATTCTATCACCTTCCCCATAGCTTTCCCAAGAGAGCTTTGGTTTGACCAAGGAGGTGCTGGAGCAACTTATTTGGGTAGAACTGAAAAACAGATGAGCACCAGAGGGAGCTGCAGCCAGATGTGCATGCCCCAAAGGTGTGCAGATGTTGGGATGTCCAGGCACAGAGTAGCTTCTGAGGCACCCCTGCCTCCACAGGGATTGGTATTTCATCTGTCCCTCTGTACTGAATGCCTCCTTCTATGTGGTTGTAAATAAGCCAAACACAACACAAGGTTTGGGTTAGGTTTTTTTTGGTTTGTTTGGCTTGGGTTTTGTTTTGGTGGTTTTTGTTTGTTGGGAATTTTTTTGTTTTGTTTTTTTTTTCTTTGTTTTGTTTGGTTTGTTGGGTTTTTTGGTTGTTTGTTTTTTTTTTTTATGGCTTGGAGAATATGCCCAGGATGGCAAGTGCTGCCATTAGGAATGCCATCACTTTTAGGTAGAGCTTGGTCACTTCAGGAAGTCTCTGCCTGTCCCCATTGTGGTGACCCAATTATGTCTCACGTGCTCTGGAGCAATCCCCAGCTGAGCTCCATTCCCAGCGACTGCTGCACAATTCCTATGGTTGAACTGCAGCCCTTCAGAAGCAAAAGGCAGCTTAACCTCACCTTTTAGTGAACATAGGATGTCCCCCAGCCCACCAACCTTGAGCAGCACTTCTGCAGCCAGCAAAAAGCAGGGGAGAAAATGGAAAGATTTTGTGCTTCTGGCAGCTCCTGCTTGTCTCCTTCAATAAGCAGTGGGAGGGAGCTGGGACGTGGAGACACGGGCGCCTCTGAGGAGACTGTCTGCCTGGCAAGGGACTGCTAGATGAGCTGCTGTGAAAGAACTGCAGGATGGGGATGGCAGGAGGGGAGTAGGCTGGGCGTGAGGAAAGGGGAGTACCATATCTTTGAAGTTTGCTCTTCGCTCCATAGGCAGTTCAGGAAAAGTTGACAAGGCTCCATGGCCTTCCTCAGCACTCAGTGAGCCAACTCACTGCTGGCATTGACTTCGTTCAAGCTTGGGCATGAAGTCAACAGCCTTGTGCCCACTACTGCCAGCACTGCATTTGGCACCATATCTGAAAACAGCTTTTATTTTAAGCTTTTAGTTCAGAGTTGGTTTCCCCACACATACACTTCTTTCCCTCTTCCTTTTCTTTCTTTCTTTCTTTTTTTTTTTTTTTTTTTTTTTAAATCATATAAATCCTGCTTCTCTATTTAAAAAGCACTTGCAGAAACAGGGGAAGCATTTACCAGGGGATATGGTGTCTTTCCCAGGACTTGTGGTTCCCAGACTGGAACTGATGCAGGGCAGGGTGGCAGGGGCATGGGCTGCCTTAGACTACCAGAAGCTTAGACAATGTTATTATAACATCCCTGCAAGCTTTTTCCAGAGGAAAACCTGAGAAAATGAGGCTTCTGCAGATTAAAAGCCTTCAATGAGATCAAATACAAAAAGAACCCTCAATCTCTGCCTCTCTTTATTAATGTTTACCACATACTTCATTCTCCACAGCCACGTAATTTTGTCTAAATCTTTTTGTGTCACCCACATCCCTGCAAGATTAAGGAGTTTAGGAATAGGCATTAAAAAGAATGCCTTTTCAGAAAGCAAAGCTGGTAATTTGGAGTAGAAGTTCACAGTTTCACCATCAGTCCCTTTGTGGTCGTGTCACACAAGGGAGGGTGGGGAGATGCCTTCAGGGAGAAGATTCTTCCACCCTTCAAGGGTGTTTCAAAGGACACCAATGCTTTGCTGCAAAACTGAAGGAGTTTTTTCTCCCTTTGGCTTGACCAGGAGCAGTGACCTACTCACAGGGTACCTTGTAAACCAAATAATATATGATAATATATCTTTCATTGATATCTGCTGACATCTGAAGGTGCTTCTTCCTAACCTGCACTTTCTATGAATAGTCCTCTCATGGGTCCCAAGCATGCAAGAATGGGCCCTTACCTCTCAAAGTACCTAACACTGCAGAGCATTAATTTTTCAAATGAATTTAATAACTGCCTGAGATAATAAAAGAGTAAATGAATGTCACGATCCATCTATGCATATTTCATCTGTAATTATGTTCATGGTTTTCTGTCAGTATCCAGAACTTCACTATAAGGATCTGCTGTGTTATATATAGATCAGGAGATGTTTGGTTTAGACCCTGTTTATTTAAAGGGATGGATCAAATACATGTATTTTTAAAAACCCTGAAACAACCAACCCTTGGTTGTCTGTAGACTGAAGGATGGGGCAGGAGAATTAAGTGAGAGTGTTATCAGGATGAAACAGTGAAAAACAGCATTTCCAGGGTGAAAGCAGGTAAAATCCCCTTTTCAGATGAAGGGTGTTCATCCACAGAAAGATGTTTGCCAGGGATTTTTTCCCAGGTTGAGGAATGAAGGATGTTCTTGTAATTATGCCCTTGAGGGCTGGATTTTAAGGCTGGCAATGCCCCATTGGCTCCAGTTTCCCTCCCAGTGCTGGTGATCAATGGAGACTGCATGAAGACAGGTCAGAGACCCACCACCAAGTCTTACCATGGACCAGCCTCTACTGTGGGATGTTTTTCTTCCCACAAATAGATATTGTTTTCCCAATAATGGTGTTGGGCAGAGGGTATCCATCCCCTGATGCTGACAGAATTTAGAAATTTTAGAATGACATGGGGTGGAGAAGATATTCCTAAATGTAGGACAAAGAGTGGGCAAACCCAGGTTGTCAGGGGATGGAATAGATGACCTAATAGGCCTCTCACATTCCTGATCTGTGATTTACAGGTGTAAGTTTCAGTCTCAGCAAGTGACTACAGTAACTGAGTTTTCTTTTCCATCGCCATTACCTTTTAATTTTTCCTCCCAATGCTTGGAGATGTTTCCAATTATAGGTTTTCATAGGCAAAGACGTGAAGTTCAGGCCTGGAGATGCTCAAAAAACACCTTCCTGCATTTTGCAGTTTTATTCATGGTAGGTTTCTTGGAGCTCAGCTCATTCTATTACAGCCATTTTTGCCATTTACTGAGTTCTCACCAATCAGAAGGTATTTTCCCTGTTCCATGAAATAAATTGTTTTCTTGTTGCATATAAAACTGCTTCTCTAATGGTGATCACTTCAAGCCATCTGTAATAATGCAGTCTCATTGCATCACATCCTGTTTTTTTCACACTGAGGATGAGTTTCAGTCTGAATTCTGCTTTCATCCCTCCCTGTAGATAGTTATTCATGCTATTCATGACTTGTCTGTAACAAGTGAGATAGGGGTACCTCAATGTAGCCTTCCAGGTCCTTTAAAGAGGCTGAAGACCTCTATAAAGGATCAGAAAATGTAGTGTAGGACCTAGGAGATATATGCATCCTTCTGGAGGGCCAGCCAAAACATTCCAAGGCCTCTCAAGTGACGCTCAACATGTCTGATTAGAAAACTGATCTGCTGCCTCATAGTACAGCCTCTCTCAGAGACTTGGAATGTTCCTCATTTGCCTGAAGCTCAGGCTGTGAAGTTCTCTCACTGCTCCTACCACACCTTGCCTGCTTCCCTTCCTGCTGGGACATGCTGTGCTGGAGTTTTTATCATTTATACTCTATTACTGATGAGCTGCTTTGGCCTCTTGCCTGATTTGTGTTTCAGCTCATTCCTGGGAGTTGCTGATAGGATTTCTGGGATAAATTTTCACAGATACCTAGTGTCAAGTGCTCATATCTCATTCAAGCTCTGTGTTTATACCATTCAGATGTCTGGGTCCCTGCTCAGTATCTGGATTTCATTTATGGAACAGAAAATGAGCACTTTTAAGTCTTGATGGTATCTCACTATAGGTCTCAAAAGCACTAAAGGCTAACTACTTCCTAGATATGGCTTTTTGCTTTCCATGAGCTAAAGGATCCTGAAGGACTACTGTGAGGTCCACACTGTAGAGGTTTGCAGTCAGGTGACAGTCATACTGTTCAGAGACTCATGTCTCTACCTTCAAGGACTCTCTGAGATACCTGAACACTCAGGATTTCACCAACAAGTTTTTTCTCCGCTAGCTCAGGTTCACATCTAAGGCAGGATCAGTTGCCTTCTGGAGGGGCCCCTCTCCAAACAAGGAACCTTGTATGAACACCAGTAGGTTTGGGAACGAGATGAACTGCAGGGCAGAATTTCTGATTATTAAATCATAGAATCATTTAGGTTGGAAAAGATGTGTGTGATCATTGAGTCCAACCAATAACTTAACACTGCCAAGTCCACCACTTTTTCCTTTCTCTTGAAATTCACTAGCAATGACTTCTGCTTGCAGTATGTTTAACAGACCTGTTAAATACAAGTATGAAGTATATATTTATATAGCTGGCAGAACGGTGGTTTCCCTTCCAAGTTTGCCGCTGTTTATCTAGTGCCAGAAATGCCAAACTCCCAGTCACCTGGGAATTTGTCAGTGCAGGCCTATTCATCCCCAGCGAGGATTAAATACCTCCAGATTTTGTTAGGGCTCAATTTTAGTTCTGTTTCCATCTCATTTAACTTCTGAAGAACGTGGATATTACAGTAATAAAGTGAAATGCGCCCCAAAATGTGTTTGCTAATAAGCCAAACTAACCAAGATGGCTTGGGATGAATTTGAAAGCCAATACATTTAACAAGGACAGAAGGAAATATGTGTTACAGTTGTGTTGCCAGGATCAGATGCCATCAGATTATTGATTCAGCCTGCTAGAAAGTTGTTTTATGGGAATGCATAACTTTTATGACTACCCTAAGAAAGCCAAAAAGATACAAAGAGAGTTACACACTAGGTTTCTGCTGATCATTGTGGGTACTCAGGGAAGAAGAGTATGGCATGCAAGATGCATGTCAGCCTTTGTTCTTTTTTAACCTGGAAAAGTTGGCAATTGGACAGTAGAAGAACCACCACTGTGGGATGTTGTTCTTTTCTTTCATGGTAACATATGTGCTGGTATTCATGGATCCCTTCTCAGATTTGACTGTGGTACTCTCTCTGCACATACTCCCACTGAGCTTTTGCACTGCGGTTTTTGGAGACTAGAGAAACAGACTTATCTATCTGCAACGATGATTGGATCAGTAGAGGACCTTGGTATTAACTCTAAGTGAAAGCATATGTTTTGCAAATTTGATGATTTTTCCCGAGGCCTTGCAGGGGTTTTTCTCCATAATTAATTACATGACATTTAGCATAATCCTTTGAGAGTGTGTGAGACAGATGCTGAATACAAAATACTGATAGCACCAACGTTGCTTTTTTTCCCCAAATGCCACAGTCTTGGAGGATCCAGATTTCTATTATCATGGAACTGATGGGTCATTTTTCACTCTGTTGGGAGGTCTGTGCTCTTCACTCTTCAGCAAACAACCTTCCCCATAGGATTTACACATGCAGTTGACTTGACATATACCCTGGAGCTGTGTGCAGACTCCCCTCAGTAAGGGAGAGAATTGTACACTGCCAAAGGGTTAAACGTGTACTTTATACGGGATAAATTACTTTTCATAGTTGCTCATCTTTCTCACCAGCTTTATCTAAGCACCTATTTACACAAAGCTTTAATTAAGTCAGGTGAATATAGGCGACTAGACTGTGTTTTAATGCTTTTTGCATGTGCTTGTCTTCTCAGAGCTCTGTCCAAGACTTCTTTGGCTTTGGCCCTGAATCAAACCCAGCACTGCAAGCAGCTTGAAGGCCTGGTGGTTTCTCAGGTGCAGCTGTGCCGCAGCAACCTGGAGCTGATGCAGACCATTATTCAGGCAGCGCGGGAAGTGATAAAGACGTGCCGTAAAACCTTTTCAGACATGCGGTGGAACTGCTCTTCAATAGAGTTGGCTCCTAACTACCTGCTGGACTTAGAGAGAGGTAAACATCACTGCTGGCTCAGTAGAGTCTGTAGAGTCAGCCTCTGTGTGTGTGTGTGTGTGCTGGAGACAGGAAGGGTCTTGCTCCTGGGAGCATGGAGGGACTACAAAGCCCACTTGTCCTGTTCTCTGAGACCACATTCATCATTACGGTGCCAGTCATGCCCAGAAGCTCTTGGATCCAAGACCTTGTCTACCACAACTCTTAGAAAGCAGACCACCATTCTGGTCTGCTCATCCCACTGGGAGTCGTGGGACAAGCACAGGAGCAAAAGAAGGCAGGAGAGTCCACAGGAGGGCTTAACCACACGCTCCAAGAGCAAATCACACCACAATGAACAAGATGCCTAAATCCATGTGACTCCTTGCCCTGCTGGGATTTTGTCTTATGTTGAAGAGTTCACTTAGATGTGCTCCAAACTAGTGGTGCCATGGGACATCTCAGCTGCCGTGATTTGGTGTGTTGGCTGCTCTGTGGGACACAGACAGTGTGAGTCTTTTTTTTGGGAGTGTTTATCTGGCCCAGGAGGCTGAGATGGTGTTCTTGTCTCTTTCAGGCACAAGGGAGTCAGCATTTGTATATGCCCTCTCTGCTGCTGCCATCAGCCACACCATTGCCAGAGCCTGCACCACCGGGGACCTCCCTGGCTGTTCCTGTGGTCCCATCCCAGGTGAGACACCTGGACCTGGGTATCGATGGGGAGGATGTGCAGACAACCTCAACTATGGTCTTATCATGGGGTCCAAATTTTCAGATGCTCCCATGAAGATGAAAAAATCAGGATCACAAGCCAATAAACTGATGCATCTGCACAACAGTGAAGTAGGGAGACAGGTAACAAATCCACAAGAGTTATTGTACTTGTACAATCATCTGTAGTGTTGGTCACTTGGTGAGGTTCAGTGTCTCTATCAGCTAGCAAAAGGAGCAGGTTTCTCAAAGATTGCTCTGAAGTCCTTTAGCCTGCTGAAAACTGTAGCTGTACAACTCACCCTGTGGCTCAGGGTTGTCCCAAATGCTATTATTAGCCCTGTTTAACCGTGGGTGGGATGTCTCATTGCTACCTGTTGCACAGTCAGCGTTGGCTCTGGCTCTGCCTACCCCAGGAGGTGTGGTGGGGATGGGTCCCATTGTGCTCTGCCAAGGGCATTGTGGGGGTGAAGTGCTGTGTAAATGTGGAGGTTTATCATCTGCCAGATGCATCCAGCAGCAGTTGCCTCCAGCCATCCCTGCAGGAAGGAGGAAGGATTTTTTTTTTTCCTTTTTAAACTGTTATGCTAGTGATTATTATCATATCTGGCACAAGCTGTTTGCCACAGCTTGCATCCAGTGGAGGGATAATATTTACCATGTGCAGCCCCTGGTGTGCAAATCCCTATAGCAGCCCTCCATACAACTGAAAACTGCTATAAAACTGACCCCTGCACTCATCTCTGAGGCTCCAGTGGTTCCATAGACTGCTCCTCATGCACAACTTGGTCTTTCCATGGCTGCCTGTGCAGACAAACCTGGAGCATGCTGAGCTCATTGGGAGCTTGCTGTGTAGCTACAGGCTGAGTCCACCTTTGCAGAGCACAACCATCCCTCTCTGGCTCCTTTTTTCCCCTCTATTCCCACACTATTTGGTTTGTTTGCTTGGGGTTTGAGGGTTTTTTTAGATTTTATTTTATTTTTGCAATGTCTTGATTTTTTGTTTCAATTGCAAAGGGCAAATTTTTGTTTGGGATATTGCGTTGATATGGCTGGTGCATTCAGCCCTTCCTGGCAGCATCCTGCCATGTCCCACTGAAATGGGAATAGTACAGAATCAAAGTAAAAGGCTATTTTGGCCCCATGACCAGCAGAAAGGCAGTGGGAGAGTGCACTGAATTCAACAAAGCCATGACATCTCTCTTACCAAAGCCCAAAGCTGCTGGAGGTTGAAATTGATGTTAATTATCTATTTATGGAATATTTTGATATTCATCTCCTTAGGAATTTAGAGAGTGGAAATGCAGCCCAGTATAGATATCTAATCAAAATTAAAAATACTCTTCTGTCTTCTGGCCACAAAGGAGCCCTTGTGAAAGTAGTCCTGGACTGACAGTGATCACCGAAGAGCTGTAGGATCTCATTTGCTTTCAAAGTAGCTACTCAAGACTGCCTGTGCAGAAATGAGAACAGTAATACTTTTCTGTAGCAGTTCCTGCTAAGAAGTACCTTCATTAGCAAACTTATGGGATGTTTGGCTGTAAGAGAAGGTCATTTCCCAACTTCTGCATTCCTTTTTGCAGGTCTTGAAAGCCTCTCTTGAAATGAAATGTAAGTGCCATGGAGTTTCTGGGTCATGCTCTATCAAGACCTGTTGGAAAGGCCTTCAAGAATTGCGAGACATTGCACTGGACCTCAAAACCAAATATTTATCTGCCACCAAGGTTGTTCACCGGCCCATGGGCACACGCAAATACCTTGTGCCGAAGGACATTGATATCAGGCCAGTTAAAGAGACAGAGCTGATTTACCTGCAGAGCTCACCTGATTTCTGCATGAAGAATGAAAAAGTGGGGTCACATGGGACCCAGGACAGGTGAGGATTTCTGCAGTGGGTACTCACTGTACTCTGACCCCAAAGAGGAAAGGGCAAGAGGGGAACGTGTATGAGTAAGGGGCAGTCAAGGAGGTGACATGTACATGCAGGTAAAGCACATCTCTAACATACAATATGGTTTACCAATTCCTAACCCTGTTAATGATGGCTGTGGCTAAGACAGGGCTTGCTAACACATTTTCCATTACACAATCAGACACAAAATACATTTAAAAATTCCCTGGGCAGCTTACCTCCACGGCAAGTTGTAAGGACCAAATAGCTGCTTTATACTGTGTTGAGTCTCAGTAATTTCTTGCAGTCACTGCTGATTAGAAGAGTAGTTACTCTAAGGCTTCCCTAAGTAGGCAAATGTTAACCCAGTTAGAACCAGCATTCTCAGATTGCCTTAAAAAACCACCCCAAAACTGCAAAGATGATATTTAATTTTTTTTTCTTCTACTGCATATTAAAGGTCCAGGTGTGTTTGTGTTGCTTATGACTCTGCAGAGGAATTTCTTTATTGCATTAATATTGGGGATTTAAGGTCATTATGGTCAAGCCCAACCTCCACTGGGCAGCATACTGTCACCTTCCACAGGCAGCAGACACGCCTTTCTCTTCCCACCATCTGTTTAATTTCCTCCAAGACCAACTAATTCAACATTTCAACAATCTGAGCATCTCTAGGTGTGCAGACCCATCTGATCTTTTTAGAGCTGAACCATCAACAGCCAAAAAAGTGTATGTTTCCAGAATTTTCCTGATTTTTGTTAGGTGGCTGCAATGGCTGGATTTCAACCTCTCTGGCTGGTTTACCTTTCTTTAGATAGTTGTCATAATTCTTCTTTGCTCTTTTTGTTATTTCATGGTGGAGGTTCAGGCAAGTGGAAGGAATATGTGCTTGGCCTATTTTGGGATGCCTTCCTTTTAATGCAGTGGACATACTTGTATTTGGACCATTATGGTTCAATGGAGAGAAGATCTTGCTGAAATGAAATGACCCAGATGCAGACAAGATAAACTATACATGCATGTGGGAATGTGGCAGCTGAGGAAAAGGGTTAGTGGTGGGCTTGGCAGTGCTGCGGACTTGATGATTTTAGAGGGCTTTTACAGCCTCCACGATTCTGTGATTCTGCATCAGCGTGTAACTGGATCAGTAGATAAGACAGCTGAGTGAGTCTTTTCTGTCCCCTGATGTTTTATGACAGTTAATGTCCTGTATGCTCTGACCTCAGTGTCTGGACTGCTCTACAATGGCACGTATCTGACAGCTCTGTGGTGGGAACACCAGGCTGGCCTTTATCACCACTTCAGCAGTGGAGCATTAATTAGCAAGTGAAGATGTTTATAAGTCACTAAGAATAGCTAGGAAAAAGCATTGAAACAAGTTTCTGAAAGAAAATGTCATCTTAGTGGAAGTGAAGATTTTGTGGATTTGTATGGATTTTGACATAATTGTGCCTTGAAAATTACCTCTTTGTTGTGCCTTTCTGTTTTGCAAGGAAAAAAATTGGTGAAGATTATTTGGAAATTAATTTTATAAGAATTACATTAAATGAATAGGTTGTGTCAAAACAAAGTTGAATTAATTACAGATTTGCCAAGTAAAACATTTTCCTTGAGCTGAAATCCTTTCAAGGGACAGGGAGGTGTGACTTCTTAATCTAATCTTATTTTACATCAGAGTTCAACTTTTTATCCCATCTAGGGATGAGAAATATGTAAAGGTCGTGAATGATTTTTTTTTTTCCTTCTGAGGAAAGGAAAATGTGTATTGCAGGCTGTTTATCCCGAGATGGATGACAGCCATGACTGTGAACCCGCCAGCCAAGGGTCCACAGGAAGTGAGATTGAGTAAGGATTTAGAAGACCAAGATATTAAGGTGGGAAGGGATGACTTTCAAAAGGAACTTGTCAAAAAATACTCCTCATTCTCAGATGTGCAAGATGGTGATGGCCAGGGGAGGGGAGGAGGGTGAGCTAGTTCCACGCCGAGCTTCAGGCATCACTCAGGCCAAGTTTTAAGGTCGTGTGTGATTGGGTTTGTTTTCATTACAGTCCATCTGCAGCCTCTTGAGAAGATGCCTGGTATTTCAAAATTGGCATGTGTTATACAAGCCATAGCAGCTCCTTTCCTGAACTAAATTACTAGAGGAAATAAATGAAAAATACACACAGTGTGTTTGAAGATTGGTCCATGTTTCCTGGGGGAAACAGGGAAAGGGAGATCTTCCCTAGTCTCCTCTTCCCATGGATGCCTTTTTCTCTTTGCAACTTTTCTCTCATGAAGAGGGTGCCTAAATGCATTTTAAATGTGGTGTCTCTGTTCCAGCCTGCCGCAGGGCTGAAGAGATAATGTCTATTTACAGGGATAAGGTAGAAGGAGCACAAAAGGAAAGCTGTTAAAGTGAGGGCATGGCAAAATGTGGTTCATGCTTCAGAATGATGTAAAAATGCTCACATGGGAATAGTTCAAACATGTTTTTATTTAATGAGTCCTGTCCTGGAGGCTTTTGAACATTTTATCTTTATACACATCTAAATTTTCTGGAGGCAGATCCCACTGTTTCCAAGTAGTCTAGTTTTTAAGGCCAGTCATGCCAATGAAGTGAAAAAGGTTGGTTTTTTTGGTTTTTTTTTTTCTGTTGTGATCCCTTATTTGGTCTACTCTCTCTTCAACCATCTTCCCATATCCTTTCTGGCCTTTTTCCGGGTGCAGAGGTCAGTCCATGCCTGGGCTGTATAGTACAGTCCCCCATATCCACAGCTCAGGAGACTTTGATCTGGGCATCCTCAGTATTTTCCAGCCCTGCTTTCTGCCTTCAAAGGGATTTGGAGGGGGGAATATGCCATTAACACCCCCTTTCTCTGTTCCTTGATGTAAATATTTATATTGATGCATTTTTTGGTGATAAAAAGTGAGCAGTTCTGCAGCATATCCAGGGAAAATCCTTTTCCTCCTCCCTTTCCCCAAGGTCTGGTTCTTGCTCATAGCATGCTGGAAATAGGATGGAGGCTGATGGTTAAGTTGCAACACCTTGGATGTGTTGGAGTTCTCTGTATGCTGTAGGAAACAATCCTACACTGCCAGGTAGGTGGAAAGGATAATCTAATTGGTGATCCCTCTAATGTGAAGGATCATATTATGTAGACTTACTGTGTTTTTCAGGCAGGAAAAGGAATTACTTTGTAGATGAACCATATGAAAATCCACTCAGAAAATGAGTCCACGATTACTCAAAAGCCTTTTAGAGCCCTTTCCTGAAAGGATTTCATAACCTTCTTCAGAACAAGCCTGAAACTTTTTCTAAGACACTCTGGACATTCTTAGCTTGTTGAAATTTAGAAATGGTTTGTATATCTGCATGCCTCCAAGTGCTCAGGGTATGTCCAGATTTCAAACTCACGGAACTAAACTCAAACCTGAGGTTTGATGCCTCTTTGAAGTGCTGAAAAGCTGATTAAGGAGCTGATTTTTGCAATCAGTATCTAAGTTGCCTGCAAACAAGGTTTACTGCCACACTCTGCTTATATACCACCATCACACTTTCATAACCAATTTAAAATAGTCTGGAGAAAAGTCTAAAGAAGCTGAATCTGTTAAGCTGCAAGTAAAACTTTCAATACAACAAAACTACTGGGAAAGAAAGGTAAACATTCACCTTCTCAGAGATTTCTTGGAAAAAAGCATTTTTCATCTTTTAATGAAGTAGTTCAATTGCTCCTGCCTGAAAAAATCACTAGCAAGTTTGAGTAAATGAAAAATAATGTCAGATTATAAAATTGAGATCTCTTTTCTGAGAAAAGTAGGAAAAATATGAATCTTCTTTTTAAGCAGGTGCAATGTATCAAATTTCAAAGGCTATTTAAGTCTCCTTAATGAATCCAAGGCAAGGGAAATTCTGCCATGTATGCAAAAATATCCAGCCCCCGAAACCTTGCAGAGATAACAGAGCTGTTTATTACTGATCTTTCCCAGAGCAGTCTTGGAATCAGCCAAATGTGGGAAGGAGCTCTCTTAGGCTGCAGAAATCAGGCTGCAACAAACTATGTGCTGCAGCTTAGTTGGGTTGATCAGCCACCACTCCACAGCTGACCTCATGTGGCAAGGAGTGTGGCCACTCTCTGGTGGCTGCTCCTTGCTCACGTATCCTTTCTTTACTCCAATATAAAATATTAGTCACAAATGTCTTAGACTGGTATGATTTCTTGGATATGCACATACATGAAGTCGGCTGAGCATGCATCTGCTGCTCAGTTTTCAGTGTTCAGTGGCAGCCCTTCATATCACTTTTTTCCTGCTGCCCCAAAAAAATGCTTTGTATTGTGTATGGGGATTGTTCAGCCTGTGGAAGAGAAGACTCTGGGGAGACCTTAAAGCTGCTTCCAGTGCCTAAAGAGAACCACTCTGTGAGTCTTTGTTTATGTAGGCAATTAAATTTTTTGGCAGGAGCACTCTGCCAAAAAATTATTAAAATATGAAGCTGGGGAAGAGTAGTAGTTATGGGTAGACAACAGCATTTGATGTTTGTTTTTTGTTACAGCTTCTTTTAGTTTCTGTTAGTGAGGGCACAGGATAAGATGAGCTTTGAGTAAGTTATAATATGTTCAATGATAGTTGGTTTTGGAACAGTTATCAGATGTGCTACCACTTTTTTTATGAGATCTGACAAATTCTGAATAAGAAATAGCAAATAATGCTTTTGTGAGTGTCCTAGAAGAACTGGAGGAAACCTGCTCTAGCTAAAGATGTCCTTGTACATAGCAGGGGTTCAGGTGGACTAGATGGCATTTAATGCTCCTTCCAACCCAAACTATTCCATGATTTTATGAAAGTCAGAAAAACATTTGCTTTCTGTTTCTCCCACCTTATTTAGGTGTTATTCCTTCTTTCTCAGGGCAACATGCTTGCAGCTGGTGCCCATTTCAGTAAGTAGGCTGGCCAGCTATGCATTTTTTTGTTATCTTAGTTAATGTGTGGGGAAGATTGAATTCTTTCTCTTTTGAGAGACCTGGATTTGATCATAAAGTTTCCTGAACAGGTTTGTGAATAATAAATTTATTTGTAAAAAGAATAATTTCACACAGTAAAATTGCAATGGATAATGAATCTAGCTCTCTTAAACATATTTAGTCCCTCTACACCCAAATGGCATTTGAGTTAGAGAAAATTTGGTCTGGGAATGATTTTCCATGACCTTAATCTTTTCAGGAGCAAGATTGAACTGACACCACCTAGGCTGTTACTGAAGACATTTCTCTACTCTGGTCTTAAAAGCAGTTTCCCTAAACAACCTGATCCAGGGTTTTACTATCCTCAGTGTTAGGCTTTTCTTAATCGAAATTTAAACAAGACATAATCTAAAATAAAACTAATAATTTCTTGTCCTCTTTCCTTGACATATAAAGAACATTTTTTTCTCTCCCCTTGTAGCAATAATCTTTTATAGAGAGGAAGACACCTCTTTTAACATATTTCTCTAAATCAGTTCCTTCATTGTTTTCTACTTTCTGAACTGCTCCTCTGGCTGCCCTGGGAACATTCCACATTTAGCTGGATCTTTCTCAAAGTGTTGCTTACTTTGCACTTCAATTCATTGTCACAAAATATCCTCAACTCCTTCTTCCCTAGCATTATCCCCAGATTTTTAAGCTCACACTCAACTTCTCATTAATGAAAATACAGGCTAATTCCAGGATCTCTCTTGACATCTCCTCACTGACATATGCTGATAACTCTTTCTCGTACAGTTGTTTAGTGCCAGTCTCCAGTCATTCCTTGTGGATGAGAATGCAATTTAAAGGTAGATAAGATTCTGCCTCAAAATCTTACATGAAGCTGTGGCCTTGATGTATTTTTAGGAATATCCATTGTGTTATATATCTCCTGAAGGATTTGAATTATTTTTCTCTTTCTTTCTTTTATATACTGCTGTATTACTTGACATTACTAGAGCAAGGGGTGCCAAAGAAATAAATAGAAATTTGATTTAAAAGAGCAAAAACCCATTACACAGCAGTACTGTGTTCTGGGATTTGGGACTGCTGGAGTTCATGAAGGCAGATGGTTTCCCTGTGCTCAGAAAGGGCTGAGGGAATCACGCAGCCAAGGGGATGAGATGTCAAGGAAGGAACATCCCTTCTATCATCCCTAATGCAACAGCCCAGGTGCTGGCAGTGTATGAGAAAAAGGACTACAGAAAGTGCTTAGATTTATGTTTTACTCCTGTAATAGCATCTCCCTCGTCCTTTGGGAGATGCACTGGGCCAGAAAGGCAGTTGCTGTGCCCCAGAGTGACTTTTTTAATATCCTCATTAAAAAGTTCTTATCAATAGAACTGATGGAGTGAAGTTCCAATGGGTATCTCAGCCCTGTCATAATCGTAGGTGACAGTACAGAGTTTGCCTCAGTTTGGATCCCAGGTGCCAGCTGTGCAACCAAAAAAATATGTGTCCTCCTATCTGCTGATGAGACAGAGTAAATAGGGATTCACAGTGAAGTTGTGTGACATTGCTAGGTTGGATTTCATCAGTCTGAGAGGTGTTTTCCAACCAAAATAATTCTATGATCTCCCCTTTTTAAAATTAAAATCCCTCCTCTCCATGTGGGGGAAGACTCTTAGAAGTTCTGGGGTGTCCTTCACCTCTGCAGAGGAGCCACCCCCATGATGAGGCTGTGTGGTGCATTGCAGTGCTCCTGCAAATGAGGGCTGGAAAGGGGACATTTTGGACAGGCATATTGAGTGGGATTTGTCTAGCCAACGCTGCTGACCTTCTCCCTTCTTAAAGAAGAAATAAGCACTGTGACAATGTAAAAGCCTGTTCTTGAGCCAGAACTTTGGCTGGGATTATGGCTGAAGTATAATTTCTCTACAGTCTTCCAAGTGCTTTTAGAGGTTACAGTGTTGTGCTACAATGCAATCGCTTGCCTTCATGTTTTCTCTCCAAGGCTCAGGAGGAGGGCATTTCTCTGAGTTGCTGGAATTGTGCTGGACCAGGCCCAAAACAAATGAGATTGAATTTAACCCATCAGTGGGGAGCCTGGTGAGTTTACAGCTGCAGGCTCTGAAAGCTGATGTTCAGGGCCGCTTCTGTGGGTAAACTCTGGTCTTTGGACTTCTTTGTCTTCTCCCACTGGCTGAGAAACTACCTGCTTCATCTTGCTTAATGAAAAATGTATCTAACTCATATCCAGGTCTATGCTTTAAAGCAGAAAACAAAATCTCTGCTTCGTGCCATTGTCAGGAAATTTTTCTAAAAGCCCATATATGTTAATGATGGGGTCAAAACTTTGTTTTGGCTATTCAACCCATCCATTCTGAGTGTCCCCATTTCCTAATACCAAACTGAGGGAGGTTTGAGGATTTATTTAATAATATTTTTCTTTTTTCCTTTCTTTGTTTCAGACTGTGGGCAATGGGGAAGGTATATGGGAAGGCATATCTTCTACTAGATTCACTTTTTTTTTTCTTTTTTTTTTTCTTTTTCTGGCAAACCACAGGAGTGGATGGAGGGAAAGAGAGAATCCCAGGTCCCAGTACAGCAGGTAGAAGAGTTTTGCTTTCTATTTGAATGGGGTAAATATCACTGCTGTGTGCTTTGTATGTTTGGGGAGCTCACCAGTCCTCAGTGGAGTCAGAATGGACCCGTATTCCTTTTCTTGGCCATTTTAGTGAGCTCCCAGCATGAAGTGACATGGATGCACTGCACATCCCTCACCACGCTTCTGCAGATTCCCCATCCTTCCTAGGTGAACCCCCAGGAAACAACATTTCCATCCACTAGCAAAGCTGAGTAAGGTTGACAAATACCCTTCCCTCTTCTAATGTCAACACACCTATATTTGAACCTTTGCTCTGAATACTTAACACATTTATGAATACATTTATGAGGAGTCATTTGGAGATTTCTCATGGAGGGGCCCCAGTTCACAAAGGCACTAACAAGACTTTGGTTCAGCGTTAGGCAAACACATTCAGTGTGGCTGCACACTTCAGCTTCGGTAGAGGCTTTAAAAGGTTTTTAAATATTTACACACACTCCTGAATGAGAGTGAGTTTGGGGGACTTTAAACATTGAACCTGTAGAGGAATGTGAATCAGAGTAAAAACAGGAGGCAGAAAAACTTAAAGATCTCAACACTTCACTAATCCCATAATTTCTCCTAAAGCATTACCTCATAAGCAATTCCTATAATTCTCATGGATTTGTTTTCATCTTGTTCTGGTCTGAAAGCAAAACCAGTGAGAGACTCCAAGTCAGAAATACAATTTATTGGGAAAAGAGAAAAGAAACAAAATACATGCAATAATACCAAAGGAAGACCGCCAACAAAGTCAGAATACAACCTCACACCCCTTTGGCCAGCATGCTGGAGTGGCTGCAGTCCTCTTGGAGTGGCAGATGTGGTTTCTGTTTGAGCAGTGGTCCTGTAGAAAAGGTGTCGTCGGTCCAATGGAAAACGTCAGCTGTGTCCTCTTGGAAACCTGTGGGAAGGCTGCCTCTCTGTCTAAAATATCCCAGGGTATATCTAGGTGGGAATGCTCAGCTCCTCTACCTGGCTAGAGGCAGGGCCCCTCTATTCCTGGTCATGGTACACGTTGCTCTCTTCCTGCAAATAGGTTCTTGAGGTTCCTTCAAGAGGATCAGTCATATCATCATTCCTATATTGTCTGGAATTCTGTGTGTGAGAGACTGGAGCAGCATTGACTCTAGATGAGCTTCTTGTGTTAGGTGTTCCCCTTTTTAGTTCACGTACTTGGGCTGCTCAGGAGGAGGTGGGTTTTCCATCCCACTTCCTCATGTCTTATCTATGTTCTTGAAGAAAAAAACAGAGGTTACCTCGTGGAGTGCATCCTCTCTCCTTGGCTGGGGAATGCCAGCTCCTAATGGCAGAGACTCTTGTTGGTTCTGGTGAGATGTGGTAGACTTCTTCCTTAAGTTCCTTTTTTAGTTTCTGATGACTCTCTTCAGTCAAGTCCCAGACTTACTCAGCCAACCTTGTTTCCACGGACGAGACATGGGTATGAAATGGGGTGGTGACAGTATCCTCATAAATTCTTAGTTTATTGGCCAAGATGCCCACCCTGTCCTTGCCTTCCCTCCTTTGCAGTGTTGTCAGGTAACAGGAGTACATCTCTGGTCCAAGCCGTGCAAATTCAACCACATTTGTAATGTGCACTGGACACAATCTGAACTCTTAGGAAATCTCTCGTCTTCTGAGAAAATTATCTTTAACACAGCCAATTCCCTCAGGCTTTTTGCTTTGCTTTTTGTTTCTTCCTCCATGCCAGTCTGCATAGACACAGACACTGTTGTTTTGCTTTTGGTTCCTTCCTCCTCTGTGACAGTCTGCGTCGGCATGGATGCTGTTGTGTTATTCTGTACAGACACGGACACTGCTGCTTTGCTTCTCGTTTCCCCTTCCTCAAGAAGATGCTGCAGCACACTGTGTAGTGTTTTGTTTCTAAGCATGTTCTGCTTTGTCTTCTCAAACTGTGCAGAGAAGACAAAGCAGAACTAACAACAACATTATGCTGTCCTTGGCATCCAGAGGGAACTCAACATTTTCGAAAACTGCTGTGTCAAGCCCTGAAAGGTTGGAAAAAATCAATCTTCACCCCTGCCCCCAGGGGCTGGGTGTGGTTGCCGAGGCCCCAGATGTAGCAGCCTAGATTAGGACAAGCAAACAGAATTGAGTACATATTCCAAATCATGTTCATTGCCTCGGAGGTTATAATGCAATAGACATAATAGATCAATAAAGCAATTCTCATACCATACCCTGGTCTACATATGACCATTACAATTGCCAGATAATTCCCCACATTCGGAAAAATATAAGAGAGCTAGGTATAAGGTACCTTCTACAATACAAAATTGTAATTCTAACTTTTCTCAGTACCTTGAGCCCCACATTGGACGCCAAAATTATGTTCTAGTTTGAAAGTGAAACCAGTGAGAGACTCCAAGTCAGAAATACAATTTACTGGGAAAAGGGAAAAGAAACAAAATGCATGCAATAATACAAAAGGAAGACCACCAACAAAGTCAGAATACAACCTCACACCCCTTTGGCCAGCCTGCTGGAGTGGCTGCAGTCCTCTTGGAGTGGCAGATGTGGTTTCTGTTTGAGCAGTGGTCCTGTAAGAAAAGGTGTCATTGGTCCAGTGGAAAACCCCAGCTGTGTCCTTTTGGAAACCTGTGGGAAGGCTGCCTCTCTGTCTAAAATATCCCAGGATATATCTAGGTGGGAATGCTTAACTCCTCCCCCCTGGTCAGAACATCTCACCATGGGCTGATGTCATTCTGAGTCAGGGGTGGGTCTTTCATCCCCTGTTAAACATAAAATGGGTCCTGGAGGGAGTTATCTCTGAGTGATGTGGTGAGACATTGATGGGCCCATTAATAGGAGATAAGGAAAACTGCCCAGAGGCAACTGCTACACAGATGGCAATAGAAAACATCTTGCCTCTCAATCTTGGACACATCTATTAACAGTTGCTTAAATCAAGGACCCAGCTTATGCTCCTCTCTCCTCTTCCTGCCCCAAAGCAGTCTTAGAGTGTTTCTGTCCGAAATAGACAAAAAATAGCTACACAGAATAAGATTTAGAAGAGATGTCAGAAATTACCCCACTCAATAAACCACCTTTCTTACAGCAGTTTCAAAACTCCATCAAGTTCACAGCCCCATGGTGTTGGGTACGCATCAAAAAAGCACAGGCATCTGACCAAACAGGAACACTTACATCCGGGATTGTCTTTACAGTCTGTGGAGAAATGGTGTCTCTAGGACATGGTTCATCACCTTCAAAATTCAATGCCTGGTGCACTTTCTTGTCCAGTGAATACTGGAGTATTTTAGGAAATGGGATAGATGTTTTTTGAGGATAGATGTGAAATGGTAATGAACAGATCAATGAAAGAGATTCCTCGGTTAAGGAGTAGCTTCTGAAAACCTCAAACCATTCACTGGCAAGCAGACAAAATGAGGAAACCCAACACAACAGCTGATTTATCCCACTGAGTCTGTCTTTAATTAAAAGCAGAAGCAAAACAAGCCGTGAAAGTCTGTGTGATACTTGGTGACTTGTCATCCTATCCTGTGCTCCTGCCAGACTTCTGTTCCTGTGTCGGAATTTGTGATTGAAAACTCTTTTCCATGGACAGAGATCAGAGACAGTGGCTCTGGGGGCTCTGTACAGGGGGGTTCCTGACCCCCTGCCAGGGTCCCAGGCCTTCCAGGGCAGCCAGAGGGAAGCCCTGGACTCCCACATTCCTGGGTCAGGGCTCAGGGTGTTTTGGGGCCAACCACTCAGCTGCTCATGCTGTGTTGGGAGAAAATCAAAGGGAAAAAGCTGCACAGTTCAGGCCTGCTAGTATCAATTGTGATTTCCCTGATGAGATCAGCTCTTCATAGTGCTGTAACAGCCTGCTCAGGATTCTTTACAGCCTGGGATCCTTGACATGGAGCCTGTTCAAATACTATCTGGCTGTAGGGTTCCTCCTTTTCCCTTTTCAGGTTGGGCAGTGGCAGACAAATACCAGTGTTTGTTCTTTAGGGTGTCATCTTCTTCCAGCTCCTTTCAGACAGTTTTGGTACCTGCCTGGGAACACTGATTGTTTGGAATGATGGTTCTTCTTGTGGTGGTATTCCAATAGCTTTGCTTCTCTGCTCACGTGGGAGCAGGCTGGCCCAGCAGACAAGCAGCCTGGATGCTGCCAGGCCCAAACTGAGAGTCAGAAAAGGAGTTTAAGTTATTTTGGGTGCCATAGCAGGTTGTGTGATTGCAGCCCAGGGTTCCCCTGCCACCCTTGCAGGCAAGGGGGGCTGTTGGCTGGGTGTTTGCTGTGCTGGCTTCACCCAGTGCCTTGCAGAGCTGTCAGGCCCAGCAACACCACACAGCGGTGGTTTGGGAAACCCAGCAGGAATGTGCACTTGCTCACAGCATTTTCCTTCTTTCAGACAATGCAACAAGACTTCCAATGGGAGTGACAGCTGCGACTTGATGTGCTGTGGCAGAGGCTACAACCCCTACATGGACAAAGTGGTGGAGCGTTGCCACTGCAAATACCACTGGTGCTGCTACGTGACCTGTAAAAAGTGCGAGAGGACTGTCGAGAGATATGTGTGCAAATGAAAACTCTCCTCTGCACACCTGGGAGCTAAGACAGCAGCGGCAGCCCAGCACTATTTGGAGAAAACATTTCCTTGACTAGACATCATTTATCTTGTAAAGACACAGACTTGAGGAGAGATAGCAGGAGGAAAAGCAACAATCATACCAGTAAAAATAAGAATGTAAAAAAAACCTCTCAAAAAGCAACAAACCCACAAATGTTTCTCTCCACCAATAAAATGCTTCCTGAGAAGACAAAACCTCATTTGGGATGGTATCTTCTTCCAAAATATTTCCTATGGTTGCCAATGATGTCCAGCCATCAAGTGCCTTAGTATTCTGAGAAATAAATGTAGAAACTTTTCCTGGGGGGAAAAAAAAGGCACCATTTGTTTGACAGTAACTAAGGCTCACACTTGCCTATGCCTTCTAGCACAGCTACTGTCTCCATTAGGACCATCCCACAAGGAAAAATGCTACAGCTTTTCAGCAATAACTGCCTTTGTTGCCAAAGACTTATTTTCCACAAGGAATCATCCACTCTGAGTGATAAAAAAAATGAAAATATTTCAGGTCAATCCCCTGAAATGAACAACTAATTTTAATCTTTCTTTTACACAGGTCTGCAACTTTGAGCTGAAGGAAAATATATCCTTGATTTGTTCAGGCTGGACAAAATTCAGCCAAAAAAAAATCCCCTGGAATCCTGGAGGCAGTGAGAGTAGGGTAGGCTGAGAAGGACTTTATGGGGTCCACAAGACCGCAGTGGAGCCTTTAGGATAAAATAACAAAATGAAATCCAAGTCCAGTGGGAAAGTAAAGAAAAAAAGCAAGCTCCTGCTCTCTATCTCTTTGCCCTTTGGGTGTGATACCCTTAGTCACTGACATTCTTCCACACTGACCCATCAAGTTCTTGGGGAAATATGCAATTAGCTTCTTCCCCCACAAAACTATTGGTCCAACCTCAGGAAACTGCAGAGTTGTGCAGTCCAGGCTGTAGGGAGTACAGCCATGGAAGTCAGCAGCTGTTCACAGCAGGAAGGAATGGGAATGTGTCAGTCCTCCATGTGGCTCTGCCCTGACACAGCAGAGAACCACTATCTGTGGCTGTACATATTTTATTTTGTATTTTTCTTTTGTATGATATTTATATCTTGTGCTTTCATCTACTTTACTTCCTACATAAATATAACCTTATACTATAAACAAGCATTAACAATAGTATGAAATAAATGCTGAAATTACTGGTGCAACAGCAAAATGTTAGATTATTGTTTCACTCTTCTACTTGGAATGCAATTCTGATTTTCCTCCCAAGGATAGGAAAAGAACATGGTTTGAGGCACCCACTGGCACAGGCAAAGATAAGTTTCTTTATTCCCTGCCTCCTCAGTCTTTAGACATTGAGCAGAATTAGCCAAGATACAGTCAAGACAATGAAAGAGAACTCTTGGAGGAGAAAGAAAGAGACACCATTGCTGTTTCATTTTTTTTTATCAGTCACTCTCATTGGTAAAATTTCCTAGTGCCCCTGAGGAGCTTAATAACAAACATGACTTATACCTCTCATGTCATGGGTGGTTGGCTTCTGGCTCCTGCACATGGAGAGGAGTTGCTGTGCAGGGGAGGTTTTAACACAGCCTAGGCTCCCTTATTTGCTTTTTTGTTTGTTATCATTTGTTGTTTTGTTTGGTTTGGTTTTTGGTTTTGTTGTTTGAGGTTTTTGTTGCTGTTTGTTTTCTTTGTTTACTTGGGGTTTTGGGGGGATTTTTTTGTTTTTGTTTTTGGTTTTTTTTTGTTTTATTTTTAGTGGGCATCCAGCCCTGTGTACTGACTATGAAAAGTGATGTTGGAGAAGGATGCTGCTCCAGGAACAGAAGGCAGCAGAGCTTCTGATATCTTTCAGATCATTCTTGGGCAACCCAACCCCATGCAAAATGCTGTAAGCAGCAAAAAAAAAATCACTCCTACACAAATGTAGAGCGACTCTGTCACTTTCCTAGGGGGAAGTTTGTCAGTAACACCACAATCTTTCTCCAAATACGCTTTTTTTTTTCCTCCACTCAGTCAATCCCTAGGGGCAACTGCCTCTGACATGTCTGTAAGCAGCCCTGGGAAATTGGAAAAGAAAAGCATCATGTGGTATAAGAGCAAAATTAGAGGTATTTTGTCATCTTCAGCTATTTTGCTTTGCTGTAATGGGTTTGGTCTTGTTGCCTCCTTCCGTCCCCCAGTTATGAGCAGGCAAAAAAAGACCTTTCATAGTTTGACAGTGGTTTGTGTTATTGTCATCCCATAAAAGCTGATGGACTAAAACATCTCTGCAGTGCAGTGATGAGTGGTGGGTGTCTTTAGGCTGACAAGTAGACAGGCTGGTGGCACAAATCCCACTGCTCTCCAATACCAGATTTTTACTTCATTTGATATGTAAAGAAACCATCTACTCTCATTCCTTTAAGGAATTTTATTTTTATTTCCAGTTTCTGATGATGCCAACGAGGCACGGATGTTCTGACTGAAGAAAAATTTGAGCATTTCAATGCCATTCTGTAATGACTTTTTTTCTTGCTCCCTTGCTGATGTCATGAGTCTTTCTGCTTGGTGAAAAACTAGTAAAAAGGAAGAAATAGTCTATACATACACTGTTTTCAGCTGCATTTCACTCCTCCTGTGTCCGACCTGTGATCCTTGACTGGCTTTCTCATGTCAGAAGAAATCATCACCTGTAATTAAAAGAAGTGAGTAAACCAATTAGGCACTGCAAGTCTATCAGGTGGGAAATGAACTCTCAGCAGAACTTTAGCCATGGTGGCAATACACACTTTGTCATCTCATGCCACAGATGCCTGTTATTGAAGATATTGACCTGGAATAGCTGAATTGTTTGGAGTTTTGCAGTTTGGGGCAACCACGTTCAAAATCTCAGCTGACTTCTCAAGATAAACCATCATGGGCTTCATCTGAACTTCGATTCTTTGGCAAAAGAGTCTGTGTGGCCCCAGCCCATGTCTTAGGCTGTTAGTCTGTGAATTAACAGTGTTACACTGCTTTTGCCATAACTTCTAAATTTCAGGATTTCTGGGCCCTATTCTTCTTGTATTAGGTGTGTGCCCAGGGTGATGTACTGTGCTAAGGTGAGAATCATACACAGGGCAGGGTCTGAAAAACTGCAGCCTCCCTTGTTACACAGGCCTGCTCCATCCAGCAAACCAGGGTCATCTCATCAGTTTGATGGCTTTAAGCTGAAATAAAGTAGGTTTAGATTAGATATTTGGAAGAAATTTCTCCCTGTGAGGGTGATGAGGCCCTGGCACAGGTTGGTCAGAGAAGCTGTGGCTGTCCCATCCCTGGAAGTGTCCAAGGTCAGGTTGGACAGGGCTTGGAGGAGCCTGGTCTAGAGGAAAGTGTCCCTGCCCGTGGCAGGGGGTTGGAGCTGGATGATCTTCAAGTTTCATTCCAACCAAATCATCCTATGATTCTATAATTTTTTTGTGCATCTGCTGTGTGAAAGATATTTGGGAGAATATTTGTCACAAACCAGCTTTGCAAGGAAAATACATCCCTCCTTTCCTTTCTCAGGCCTTCAGCAAGCGGTTTTCAAGGCTTTGCTCTGAAACACTGAGATCCTTCAGCTATTGCAGAAAACAGCTTTAATTACTGTGAATGTCTTTGTCAGGTGATGCTGTAGTTCCCTTCTTATAACATGCCTTACCACATCCCAACAGCTGATGTAATTTGGCCCAGCTCCATGTTGTACTACACAGTTTTGTTGATTTATACTAGCTAGCAAAATGCACCTGATTTATTCCCACAAACACTATTATTTCACAGCTTTACAGTATTACACCTGGTGGAAACAGCCAAGCTATCCTAAAGAGTATTATGCTGGTGGCCTTATAGTATTTACTCATTTGAAAAAAAAAAATAAATCTATGATTTAGTAAAACAGTTAGTACTTAATGCTGTTTTCAGAGCAGGGGTTTTAGACCTGTATACATCTGGCTGACTTTGTATTTTTTTGACTAATCCCCGCCATCCTTACCCCTTCCAGTTTTATATCACTTAGGTTTCTCCGTAAGATAGGCAAATGCCATTCATTGTAAAAAACTCCCATTTGATTGTGTATGTTATTCTACAAATATAGAAAGTATCTTAATTTTACTAAAACAGGCGCAGTATTTCACATGCAGCTAGAAAAGACTTTGGTGAGGGGAAGGGGAGTGATGGAAGAAGAAAACAATCCAAATACAATTAGAATTGTCTTTGTCAGGCAAGTGATAAAAATTTAATCCTTGAGGGACCAGCCCTCTTCCTGCTAGAAAACAGATCCCTGTAGATAACCATTATCATCCTCCAAGTGAGATAGACTTGTGCTGGCCAGATCTGGGCTACCTGTTTGGGGAAAGTGCTGGGAGGAGACTCTGGGGAATATGGGGAACAAGAGGAAAATTCAGGCCTGGGATCAATTGTTGTTGGACTTCCACCCTGTGACAAAGTATTTGCTTTTCCCTGCATCAGACAGGGGATTGTGAAACACCATTGTTTTGTTCCCAAGAGCAAATCTGAGCTATAACAGGCATGACTTTATCCTCTGTAAGGGAGATGTAGCAGAAAACAAAATTTGGGAGAGGGGGAGAAAGAACAGGAAACTTAAAATCTACCTAAGATTAATGAGTTTAGCATGTACAACGTATTTTTTTTTTTTTTTTTGTTTTACTCTATGGACCAGTTTCATTAGTCAGACAAAGTTTGATTAAATATCTCAGCAGAGCTTTGGTTTATTCATCTAAAGAACAAATTACTCTCTCTTCATGGAAGCAGCATTGTGTTTTCTAATTGTGAGAGCGACAATAATAATAAAAATAATAACAATAGAATATGTTGTGGGTTGTTTTCATTTCCTCTTTTGTTAAGAATAAGTGGACAGTATTTTGTCTGTATGGTAAATTAAATTAATTTTACTTTTTAAAGATACTTTCTGGGCTGTGTGGAAAGTTCTCTCTTTTTTGCTCTTTTAAGTGGAATTTTTCAAAGTATTTACCAGAACCATATTGTCTTGAAATTTCGCTTAAGGCAGAAGAGGGTATCATGTAACTAAACAATTGCAAGAACTGGATATAAATGGATATGCTGCCATGGCTAGAGAGCTTAGGAGAAAGCCACCAGATCCATAACGTAGTGCCAGATGTCAATGTAAGGACAAGATTCAGATTGAAAAATTGTCATTGGTTAAGTTACTCTGTGAAGCCTACCCACTTGTATGACCGAGGCAGAGGAATGAGGGAAGGACACATGTCTGAGTCTCCAAATATTTAATCTCAAATTTGGGCAGAGCAAGTGACAAATCTGAACCTGAAGGGGCTGCTTTTGAGGGATGGGGGGAACACGGGGAGGACACAACCTTTGACCAACAGGAAGAGGAAGGCATTAGGGGAGGGGTGCAGGGTAAGGGCTCCCCAGTAGAACCCAACATGGAGAGGTGTTGCTATAGGACACATGAAAGCACAATGCGACCCACTGCTATTTGCAAGGTAAAGAAGAAGAAGGTTTATTTTCTGACTCCAACTTTTATACTTTTCCAAAGGTGACAGTGGATTGGAGAGTGAATGCGCCACCTCTCCAAAGACATTGGACAAACCACTAGTACATCAAGTTTCTCCACCCCTATGAAGGAATGCAAAACAATATGTTGTTTGTAGAAAATTGTGTGAGAAAGTTTTCTAACAGAATGTAAACTCAGAAGGCTTTAGAAAATCTTAAGAATCAGGGCGACAGGGAGGGAGCAAAACTCACAATCCAGTTATGCTCCAAGGAAGGGATGAAAGACAGGGAACACTCCAGAATCAAAGGAATCTGCTATCTTTGACAGACAGGGAAAAGACAAGGGAACAAGGGAGGTATGCAGGTGGATTGACATACATTTTGGGGGGGAAAACTGTGGTAAACAACTCAGGACTGAGCCATTAGGGAAGCCAAATGAGGTACATAGAACGAACCATTACAAACTTATAACAAGGAATATTAAAATGTACTACAGAAGAACCAACTGTAAAATAACAGACCGCCACATTCCTGTATTAGTGCCAAAGCACTGGAAAACTTGAATTATCAAATCTTATAAATGCAAGTTATCAATAGATCTCTATATGTGGTAACTGCTGACAAATGGGCTTTAAAAATAGAGATCCGTGTTTTTTTCAGATTTTCTAATTTGCTCAGTCCGGGATGAGGTCTGGAGTGTTGTTCAGTGGTGATGAATGATGAACTTGAGCAAAGGTGGAACTATAAAAATTAATCCAGGTAAAGTTGGGTACTCACAATCCTGTGTTTGTCTGAAGCTCTAGGATGTGTGACAGAATAATTTCAACATCTTTGAGGATTGGCTGCTTTCTCAAAATTCATGCTGTATTTCAGAGGAAAGGGGGATTTAAGATCCGTTATTCTAAGAGGTATCTTTCTTTCTCCATTATTTCTCCTCCTAAATTTCAAGTTTAAAATTATCCTAAAATAGTTTGAAATTTAGTATAAGATGCTATAATCTGTGTAATTATGAAAGCCATTTATAAGAGCAATTGTGTCATCATCAGAGGAAACCAGCTGGTAGGTGTATTTCAAATCACAGAGTGGTTTGGGTTGGAAAGGACCTTAAAGCTCATCTGATTCCAAAGCCCTGCCATAGACAGCAACACTTTTCCCTAGACCAGGTTGCTCCAAGCCCATCCAATCTGGCGTTGAACACTTCCAGGGATGGGGCAGCCACAACATCTCTGGGCAACCTGTGCCAGTGTCAGTCAAATACGCCCAGGTCAGTGAGGTCCGTCATGCACAGAGCGACCCCAAACTTTCTCTGCTGCCTGCAGACACTGGAACTACACACCAATTGCAGCTGCTTTCCACTCAAAGTGCTGCACATGTTGACTTCAAATTTTACAAAGTGCTGCACATATTGACCAGGATCAGGCTTGGGCAGGAAAACTGTTTTCTTTTCTAAACCTCTGCTCTGCCCAGGGCTGCTCTCTCATACGGCTCAGACAGATTAAAACCCCACCTCAGTGCTCACCTCTGCAGGTGCTTTCTTCCTTGCTGCCAGCAGCATGTGAGCTGTGGGGGCAGGGGGGTGAGCTGGAAGTACCTTTGCTTTTGGGAGAAGTGGGAGATGACAGCAAGTAACTCCACATTTGAGAAGCAGCTCTTGGGTGTGACATAAAATTGTTGAGATGGAACCTGCAAAGAATGACCTGATTTGAAACAGAAATAGCTCCCCAGCTTGCCCTGACTCCCACACACAGCGTTTCCTCCGCTGGATAGAAGACTCCTCTCAGCAGTTTGCAGTGAACCATCTGGTGCCATTTGAGGCACTTCAGAGTGACCTTGTCCTTTTGAGAATTCTCTGCCCACCAGGGCTGGAAGAGGAACATCCAAGGGCCACCCACAGCATTTCAAGTAGTACTGACATTTAAGGAACTCAATTGCACTCCTGCATCTGGTGATACAAGGCCTTGAGGACAGTTTCTTCCCTTCACAGCACTGGTCCCAAAGGCTCTTCCAGGTCTACCATGAACCCACAAACTGGATGACACTCAAAAATTAGCTGTGTAAAACCATCAGGCTCATTCTGCCTCATAAGTGCCATTGGCACCCACTGGAGGTCTGAATCTGACCTCCAGATCTTACAACCCCAAATCACCAAGAGGGGCTTCTGAGTTAAACAGGACCTTAGTTTAAAGTCGCAAGTCGTTGAATGAACTGCCCCAGCAAGAATTCATTGGGTGGGTTTTGGAACAATCTGTTCTCAGCTCTCTGCAATAAAGATATTTTTAGAGTGTAGAAATCTGGAATGCCTCCAAAGAGATATTGGGATAAGATGAATTATGTCTATTGGGAGTTAGTGTGACCCTTTTCATGTAGATATCATTGAGCAGATGTTGAAAGTCAGGTGGGGCTTATCCTTAGCCTGATGCTTGTCATAGGGGTCCTTTTGTTTGGTTTTGTTATAAACCAAGTTTTGTTATAACCTTTTGTTATAAACCAAGTTAATTAGTTATTAAGTGTAGCTGGACTATTAGCATCAAAGAATGAGCCTATGTAACTCCCATGCCCAAAATTATTACAGCTGTTATCTGTTATGTTACATAAATTGCTTAATGACACTTCCAAATTAAACAATGAAACTCAATGAATGACATCAAACATTGTAAATGTGAATTTAGCTGGTCAGGCTTACTTTTTCCTTTTCTCTCCATTGGAGGGAACATTTTCATATTCGGATTTGCACAGAAAATCCCAGGAAACTAAAAAAGTTACTTTTCATGGAGTTTGTAAAGAAAATCAAACCATTCAAGCACACTGCCCACTTCACTGTTGCAATCAAATGTCAGACTCAAGGCCCCTGAACTTGACTCATAGATAATTGCACTGGTACAAACTAACCTTTCCCCCCCACCAACCATTAAGGAGGATATTTCAGATAAAAAAGCATAAACAAAGAAACTTAAAGAACAAAATGAATGCCACACAGTGACTGTGTTTTACATGAACACTGAATTGCTGGCAGAGGATTTCCCCTTGCAAAATATTTTCCATTACTCTATATCATCTGGTTAATAGCCTAAGTGCCCAAGCTTACCTTCAGGAAATTTAGATAAACTGAGAGATCTTCCTGCATAGAAAGACACTGACCATTCTTTCAACATCATGCTTTTTCTGCTCAAAATTATCTTAGCCAGTGTAATGAGACCAACCTTCTTTCCTTTTGATATCTTGCTGGTGTTTCTGAACATTTCTGTCAGTGGTGTCAGTGTCACTGGATGAAATACATGAGAATAAAGGAATCATAAAGAATCATTATATGCTCCAAAGATTAAAAAAACCCTTTGGAACTGTCAGAGTTGATACACTCCAAGTGCCTTTTAGACACCTAAATTCAGTAGTGAGAATTGAGTCCCATGATTTATATTTTGGTTTGGTTTACTCCAGAACAAGTGTTCTTTCCCAGTTTTTTAACTAATACAGATGTATGAATAGGCTAGAAATAAAGAAATTTGGTGTGGGAATTCACCAACATTTTTATTAAATAATACTCACAACCCCCTTTTAGCACAACCAAATGTTACTCCACAGAACTTGAACCCCATCCATTTTCTCCTTCTGCACCATATCCCACATATTTTCAGCAGCTCTCATGCAGAGAGGCACCCAGAGTGAGAATCATCTCATCTTGGAGACCCCACACATGAGCTGACCCAGCACTGTCTCTATCCTGGATGGGTGCAAGGAAGGGATGAACCAGCTGTGCTTCCTCTGCCATTCTACATTTTATCCCAGGCTGGAGTAGGAACATATGATTTGTGTTTTAGCTGGTTTGCCTCTAAGATCTCACCAACCTCACCTGGTTCTGGGTGATAACTGAACCCAGGACTGGTTCTGCTGGGTTTTATGTTAAGGGTTTTTCTGTTCTAGCTGAGGGTAGTAATGGAGTTATGTTAGAAATACAGTAGAGGTGGGTTTCTGTTTATCATCACCCTGTAACTATGACTGAAACAAAAAAGATTAAAGCAAAAAAGCCCAAAACAGAACATCTTGCAGTTTTCAGGTTTTTTTTTTTTACAGCCCAAGTTTTCAACTAGGATTTGCCTTGACACAATAAAGTACATTTTCAAGCTCAGCTTCTTAATGGGTTACATCTGCTTAATGTAATTTTGCATCTGAACTGTCTTGTCAGACACGGGCACAATCAGAGCTGCATCCAGCAGTACTCACTTTCCCTGGAATCAGATAAACTCAACCCAATAAATCAGTTTTAATGCTCTCAGTACCACCCCGTTATCATTGTGAGTTATTCAGTCTGGGCTTCCCAAACTTTCCCATTCTTTCA